TGGTCCCAAGGTCCTGGGATCGAACCCCGCATCGGGCTCCCTGTTCAGCGGGAAGCCTGCTTCTCCCTCTCCCACTCCCCCTGCTTGTGTTCCCTCTCTCACTGTGTCTCTCTCAAATAAATAAATAAAATCTTCAAAAAGAAAAAAAATTTCACCGGTAAAAGCAAATATATGGTAAAAGTGGTACATCATTCATAAAAGTACTATGATGGTTAAAAGACGAAAGTAGTAAAATCAATTTTATCTACAATAATTAGAGGATATACAAAATAAAAAGATGTAAAATATATGTCAAATACATAAAACAAAGGGAGGGGAAGAATGTAGTGCTTTTAGAATGTGTTCAAACTTAAGTGACCATCAATTTAAAAGAGACTGCTATATACATAGCATGCTATATATGAATCTCTTGGTAACCGCAAACTCAAAGCCAGTAACACATACACAAAAAAATAAAGAGAAAAGAATCCAGCAAAACACTAAAAAAAAAAAAAAAAAAAAAAAAAAGTCATCAAATCACAAGGGAAAAAAAGCAAGAAAAAAAGAACCAAGAACTACAAAAACAACCAGAAAACTATTAAAACAGCAATCAGTATATACATATCAATAACTATCTTAAATGTAAATAAACTAAATGTTCCAATCAAAAGACATAAGGTGACTGAATAGATAAAAAAAAAAAAAAACAAGATCCATCTATTCGCTGTCTTCAAGAGGCTCACTTCAGACCTAAAGATATGTACAGACTGATAGTAAAGGGATGGCAAAAGATATTCCAAGCAAATGGAAACAAACAAGAAAAGCTGAGGTAGCAATACTTACATCAGACAAAACAGCCTTTAAAACAAAGACTGTAACAAGAGACAAAGAAGCCCATTACATAATGATAAAGAGATGAATCCAACAAGAGAATATAACAACTATAAATATCTATGCACCCAACACAGCAAGTACCTAAATATGTTAATTCAAACATTAATAGACATAAAGGGAGAAATCGACAGTAATACAGTAAATAGTAGGGGACTGTAGCACCACACTTACATCAACGGATACCTCATGTATACACAAAATTTGTAAGGAAACACTGGCTTTGAACAACATATCAGAGCAGATGCACTTAACAGATACATACAGCATTCCACCTAAAAAGAACAGAATACGTTCTTTTCAAGTACACATGGAACATTCTCCAGGATAGATCACATTTAGGGCCACACAAGTCTCAATAAATTTAAAAACACTGACATCATATCAAGCATCTTTTCTGACCACAACAGTATGAAACTAAAAATCAATCACAAGAAAAAAAAATGGAAAAAACAGAAACACGTGGAGGCTAAACAATATGCAACTAAATAACCAATGGGTCAACAAAGAAATCAAAGAGAAAATAATAAAATACCTTGAGACAAATGAAAATGTAAACTCAACACTGAAAATCTCGGGGACACAGCAAAGGCAGTTCTTTAAGAGGAAAGTTTATAGTGGTATAAGAAAAATCTCAAACACTCTAACCTTACATCTAAAGGAACTAGAAAAAGAACAAAACCCAAAGTTAATAGAAGGAAGGAAGTAATAAAGATCACAGCAGAAATAAATGAAATAGAGACTAAAAAAAATAGAAAATATCAGTGAAACTAATAGTTGGTTCTTCAAAAAAAAATAAACAATTAATAAACCTTTAGCCAGACTCATCAAGGAAAAAAAAGAGAGGACTCAAATAAAATCAGAAATGAAAGAGGAGAGGAGTTACAACCAATACCACAGAAATACAAAGGATTATGAGGCTACTATGAAAAAGTATACACCAACAAACTGGACAATGTAGAAGCAATGGACAAGTTCCCAGAAAAAGAATCTTTCAAGAATGAATCAGGAAAAAAGAAAATTTGAACACACTAATTACTAGTAATTTAACTGATTCAGTAACAACAATAAAAAAAACTCACAATAAAAAAAATACATGACCAGATGGCTTCACAGGTGAATTCTACCAAACATTTAAAGAAGAATTAATACCCATCCTTCTCAAACTATTCCAAAAAAATTAGAGAAAGAAAAATTAAATAAAGGCTTCCATATTCATTCTATGTAGCCATCATTACCCTGACACCAAAGACACTACAAAAAAAAGAAAATTAGAGGCCAATATCCCTGAAGAACATAACGCAAAATCCTCAATAAAATATGAGTAAACTACATTCAACAATAAATTTTAAAAAATCATTCAACACAATTAAGTGGAATTTATAGCAGGGATACAAGAATGGCTCAAATCCATAAATCAATAAAAGTGATATATCACATTAACAAAACGAAGGATAAAAATCATATGATAATCTCAAGAGATGTAGGAAAAGAATTCAACATCCATTCATGATAAAAACTCAACAAAGCAGATATACAGGGAACATAACTCAACATAATAAAGTCCATATATGATAAGCCCACAGCTAATATCACACTCAATGGTGAAAAGCAGCTTTTCCTCTAAGATCAAGAACAAGACAAGGATGACCACTCTTGCCACTTTTATTCAACGTTAATACTAGAAGTTCTAGCCAGAGTAATCAGACAAGAAAAAGAAATAAAAAGCATCCATATCTGTAAGGAATAAGTAAAACTGTCACTACTGACAGATGACACAGTACCATATATAGTAAGGTCCTAAAGATTCTACCAAAAACTATAAATGAGCTAAGAATAAATGAATTCAGTAAAGCTGCAGGATACGAAATTAGCATATTGTTGTGCTTCTATAAACTAATAAAAAGTAGCATGAAGAGAAATTAATCCTACTTACAATTGCATCAAAAGGAATAAAACACCTAGGAATAAAGTTAACCAAAGAGGTGAAAGACCTACTCTGAAAATTATAAAAAGATGATATGTGTATGGTGACAGATGGTAATTACACTTATCAGAGTGAGCATTATACAATGCATATAAATGTTTAAATCACTATGTTGTACACCTAAAACTAATATAACATGTCAACTATACTACAATTAAAAATAAATTTTAGGGGTGCCTGGGTGGCTCAGTTGGTTAAGCGTCTGCCTTCGGCTCAGGTCATGATCCCAGGGTCCTGGGAACGAATCCCCTATAGGGCTCCCTGCTCAGCGGGGAGCCTGCTTCTCCTTCTCCTCCCACCTCGTGCTCTCTCTCGCTAACTCTGTTGCTGTCTCTCTTTCTCTCAAATAAAATCTTGAAAAATAAATTTTAAGTTTTAATATTTAACATTACTACACTAGTACATGTACATTATTTGTAAAAAAAATTGTGCATGCACTGTTCAGTTTTTAAAAGTAAGAAATAAAAAGTTCAGAGATCCCTGGCCTAGAGAAATCAAATATATAAAACACTTTTACATAATGTAATATGGTAAGAACAACAGAGGACTCTATAAAGGGGCTTCCCCAGAGAAGAAAGTCTGAAATTTCTGATTCCCTGACATACCCTTAAGAGGTGAACAAGAACTAGACAACTGGAAAGCCCTGGGAGGATTCTAAATAGGGAAGATCTAATAAGCATAGGCATGGAAGAGAAAAATTACAGCATTTATGAATAACTATGAATGGGTTCATGTTGCTGGAACATCAACCATGAACCAAACTATGGTAATCAGTGAGGCTGGAAAGGTATATGGGGGGCAGCAGAGGCGCTTCTATGTCATATTAAGAAAGTCTAACTAAATACCCTCTACCTGAAGTTCTTAGTCATGGTTATCTGAAACACCACCAAAAATTATTTTTGTGGATGAATGAATTTATTGATTCAAACATGAGCAAATCTATGTGCTACACATTAATTACTTCAGGTACTATATCAACAGAAAGAAAGACAAAAAACTCAGTTAATTAGAACAGGCAAATACACAAAGACAGGAAATAGATTAGTGGTTGCCAGGGCTTGAAGGAGGGGTGAATGGGGAATGATTGCTGATAGGTACAGGGGTTTCTTTTTATGATAAAAATGTTCTAAAATTAAATAATTGGTGATGATTTGAAAACTCTCTGAGTATACTAAAAGCCAATGAATTGTTTAAAAGGGTAAATTTAATGGTATGTAAATGATACCTCAATAAAGCTGTTACAGGAGGAGGACTGGCTACAGGACAGCAGTCCATCTGCCACAGGTACATCAAATGCAAGTCTAAAATGGAATTTATTTTCTTTATAAACCTTATTCTTTTCTTATATTAATGGTACTACCATCAACCTAGACATTTCAGCCAAAAATCTGGCAATGACCCTAACTTTATTAAGGTGAACACCTTAGGGTGTTCAAGTCCTAGAGATTCTATTTCCTAACTTTTTAACAATAAAAAGGAAAAAATTACCTCAGAAGAAGTCCCTTCTTCACACTTTGCTACTGCTCTGGATACAGATGTGTGAGGATAGGATGACTGAAACTCCTACCACATCTTGCAACCGAGATCAAGAGATTCACAATGCCGCTGACATTACTAAGCTCTAGAATCCCATTTCCAAACTTCTTGTTATGTGGGAAGACTCCTACTTGAAGAGGAATGCTTCTTAAATGACACTACAGAAGAGCTGAACAAAAATGTCTAACAGAGAAATGTAGTAAAAACTGGAACACTAAAGAAACTTCTGGGATCTAGATACAGATGTGAGAGTTAACACGTAACAGGACAGTAACAAAAACGAGAGCGACCATTCGTCACCCACATACTATTTACCAATCTCTATGCTAAGCACTCTATAATCTTATACTTACAGCAAACTTACAAGCAGGTATTATTAGCCCTATTCTACAGGACTAAGACATGGTCAAATAGCTAATAAAGGACAATGCCAGAAGTGCATGGGTGGCTCAGTCAGTACAGCGTCTGACTCTTGATTCGGCTCAGATCATGATCTCAGCTGTTGAGATCAGCCCTGGGTCAGCTCCGTGCTGGGCGCGGAGCCTGATTAGGATTCTCTCCCTCTCCCTCTGCCCTGCCCCCCTTTAAAAAAAAGGGGGGGAGGATCCCGCCCTGTCTCGGTCCCGCGGGCCGTCTTCGGACGCGGCGGCCAGCCCTGGCGGGCTCATCCAAGCAAACAAGCAGTCACCACTTAGAGGAGACAGTATAAGGAATTAATCTTATTACCAGTGGCATTCAAACATTTGTGAAATTTAAGAATTGTAACTGCTGTTCTGATTCATGGATCTTCAAAGAAAGCAGAGAAGATTTCAGGATTTACAAAGGTGCTGGTTTGTGCAGATTTGAAGACCAATATCTTATGAGCTTATAAAACAGGAGCTGGAAATAGAATGGTGAACAAAACGGCTGGTTCCTGCTCTGTCAGAACCTAAGGTTTAGTGAGGAAGATAAAACCAAGCAAACAAGCAACAAAGACCTGTTTGAGATGTGGTGGTTTCAGCAAGGTCTCAGTTTCCTCCCTTCAGCCCTAGTAATTTGGACAGCTGCTGCTTTCATATTTTCGTACATTACGGCCATAACACTTCACCATGTTGACCCTGCTCTGCCTTATATCAGTGACACTGGTACAGTAGCTCCAGAAAAATGCTTGTTTGGGGCAATGTTAAATATTGCCGCAGTTTTGTGCATTGCTACCATTTATGTTCGGTACAAGCAAGTTCATGCCCTGAATCCTGAAGAGAGTCGTATCATCAAATTAAACAAGGCTGGCCTTGTACTTGGGTTACTGAGTTGTTTTGGACTTTCTGTTGTGGCAAACTTCCAGAAAACAGCCTTTTTTGTTGTGCATGTATGTGGAGCTGTGCTCACCTTTGGTATGGGCTCGTTATACATGTTCGTTCAGACCATCCTTTCCTACCAAATGCAGCCCAAAATTCATGGCAAACAAGTCTTCTGGATCAGACTACTGGTGGTTATCTGGTGTGGAGTAAGTGCATTTAGCATGCTAACTTGCTCATCCCTTTTGTACAGTGGGAATTTTGGCAAAGATATCATACAGAAACTCCATTGGAACCCTGAGGACAGAGGTTATGTGCTTCACATGATCACCACTGCAGCGGAATGGTCTATGTCTTTCTCCTTCTTTGGTTTTTTCCTGACTTACATCCGTGATTTTCAGAAAATTTCTTTACGAGTGGAAGCCAATTTACATGGATTAACTCTCTATGACACTGCTCCTTGCCCTGTGAACAATGAACGAACACGGCTGCTTTCCAGAGATTTATGATGAAGGGATAAAACATATCTGTGATGATTATGATTCTCAGGGATTGGGGGAAATGTTCATGAAAGTTCCTTATTCTGCTCTGAAATTTTTAACCAGTTAATCAAGGCTGACAGTGATGTTGATGAATACTGATAATCAAGAGACATAAATAAAGCCATTTCACAAGTTATTTTAAAGGATATCTTCAAGAAGACCACGTAAAAACATTTATGCCTATACTTTTTTAATCCCAGAAAATAAAACCAAAGGACTACAAAAAAAAAAAAAGGGGGGGGGAGGACAACACCAAACCCCACCTCAAATCTGTTCCAACACCTAAGATAGTTAAAACAATGAATGAGAATGAGGCTACCCAAAAAGTACGAAACGAGAAGGTAGCTAAAAATAATCTAGAAATACACATTTAAGAGGGAAAGACAAAGTGCGTGAGAAGAGCAATGAGGATGAACAGTCAGGTAGATCAGAGGTAAACAAATTATGGCCCACCCAGCTACCTGTTTTTATAAATAAAGTTTTACTGGAACACACCACACTCATTCATCTATGTATTGTTTAAGGCTGCTTTTGCACTACAATAGCAGAGATGAACAACAGCAGCAAAGCTGAATAGTTGTAACATATGGTGCAAAAAGCCAAAATTATTATCTGGCACTTTATAAAAAAAAGTTTTCCAACCCCTAGGAGAGATAACTCAGACAACCCAAAAAAGCATATCACTGAAGATGATTTTTTTTTAAGTTCTAAGAAGAAATAGTCAATTCATCACAGAGATGTAAAAACGCTGGTACTAAAAATATCCATGGAATTTAGCAATTACAAGGTAACTAACTTATGAGCACCTTGATTATAACTACAGTCTCCAACCTATAAATGTTATTATTGCCATTATACTTAACATTCAAACTGGGTTTTCCACCATTTACAGCCACGAATCCTTTCTCATATAGTATAAAATTAAACAGAAAAGATACCCATGTACAGAAGAATAAAGCTGTATACCCTTACCTTCCACCACAAAGACTAACTCAAAATGGATCAAAGACCTAAACATAAGAGCTAACACTACAAAACTCTTAAAAAGATAGGGGGAAAGCTTCATGACACTGGATTTGCAATGATTTCTTAGATATGATACCAAAAGCACAGGCAACGAAAAAAAAGTAAAGTGGACATCAAAATGTAAAACCTGTGCATCCAAGGTCACAATCAACAGAATGAAAAGACAACCAACCAATGGAATGGAAAGAATTTACAACTCATGTATCTGATAAGGGGTTAAAATCCAGAAAATATATTCAAACACCTAAAATGCGGTAACAAAAAGACCAAATAATTTGATTTAAAAATTGGACAAAGAACTTGAATAGCATTTCCTCAAAGATACAAAAATGGTCCTCAAGCATATGAAAAAATACTCAATATCACTAATCATTAGAGAAATGCAAATCAGAATCAAAATAAGATCTCTTACACCCATTAAGAGGGCTGTTACCAAAAACAAAAACAAAGGGGTGGCTCAGTTGGTTAAGCACCTGACTCTTGATTTTAGCAGCTCAGGTCCTGATCTCAGGAGTCATGAGTCCAAGCCCCACATTGGTCTTGATGCTGTGCGAGACCACTTAAAAAACAAAACAAAAACAAAAACACAAAAATAACAAGTGTTGGCAAGAAGGTGAAGAAATTGGACCCTTGGGCATTGCTGGTGGGAATGTAAAACAATTCACAGCCACTGAGGAAAACAGTATGATGGTTCTTCAAAAAATTAAACACAGATTTACCATATGATCCAGCAATTCCTATTCTAGGAATACACTCAAAAGAATTCAAAGCAGGAACGCAAACAAATATTTGTACACACATGTTCATAGCATCATTATTCATAACAGCCAAAAGGTGGACCCAAATGTCCAGTAACAGATAGAGATACACAAAATGTGGTATATACATACAACGGAGTAATATTTAGCCTTAAAAAAGGAAGTTCTGAACATGTTCCAACATGTATTACCCTTATATTATGCTAAGTGAAACAAGCCAGTCGCAAAAAAAGAAATACTCTATTTTACTTACGAGGTACCTAGAGTAGTCAAATTCACAGAAACATGAAGTAGAACTGCAGAGGCTGGGAGAAGGAGAAAATGGGGAGTTGCTGTTCATTAGGTATAGCATTTTAGTTTTTCAAGATGAGTAAGTTCTGGAGATTGGTTGCATAATGGTATGAATATACTTAAGGCACCTCAAATGTACACTTAAAATGACCCTTCTAAATATCAGATTCTTAAAAGACAACTATATAACATCTTCAAAGTCCAGATTCAAATAAGCAGCTAAATTTGTCTGATTTACCTATATTTTATATATACAGGATAATGAAATAAACATTTTACCTCATTTTAATCACTTCTACACAATTCAAACAGTAAAAAAATAATTTGGAAATGAAACTACTCAAGGCATTATGAAAGAGCCAAGAGATTAATGAAGTGATCTACACAGCCAACACCATTATCAAGTTATTTTTGTAGTTGTTTAAACAAAATGAGGTCTTTAAATCCTTTTCACTGGAAAGTTTACTATCAAAATATTTAATACAACTGATTTGAACTTTCTTTTCTAAGAGCTTTGTGTTTTACTTGTTAGGTTCTGCTTCATCATTTAATCCAAAAAAAAAAAAAAATCTAAAACATTTTAATAGAAAAATCAGGAACAGGGTTTGTGATTCTCATTAAGGTGATGAGCCTGAGTTTCTTTACTAGTTAAATGAATCATTCCACATTATTCCTCAACAGTTTACTGTTGGATGTTTACTATAGGGAAAATACTCTACAGGTCTTAAAAATACAATGGTAACAAATATCATCAAACTCTTGTGAAGATTAAATAAGACAGCAGCATATATATACTGAAATGGACACTCAAACAATCCAGTTGTTAAAAATGGAGGCTGGTAGTTTGGGGTTATGATAATTAAGTTAGGAGGACTAGGGGCAGGCAGCAGCATTTTAGATATAACAGTATGAAATGAGATTAAAAAAATAGAGCTCTATGGCTCATGAAAAGTACAAAGAAGGAGAAAAATGTCAATAATCAAAAAACAAAACATCAAAAAAGCTAAAATATGCTAATGATAACTACATGAAGTCCAATCCAAACATATCAAGAAAATATAGTTACGTGACATTAAAGAAAAAGTTCTCCTGCTGTCATGGTGTTTGCTCTCTAAGTCATCAGGAGAAAAGAGCTAAAAGAGTTAAGGAAAATATTAAAGGCAAGAATCAGAGAGAACTAAAGTAACATTATACTATCCCTCACACCAATTTATAATAGGTTATGGGAACAATAAAAGTAAAAAGAATTTAAATTCTCATAATTAAAGAAACACTTTCTACATGAAGTTTAAAAAATACCCAAAAGTATTCTTTTCTTTAAAGATTTTTATTTATTTGAAAGAGAGCGAGTGAGAGAGCAAGTGAGAAAGCACAACTGGGGAGAAGGACAGAGGGAGAAGGAGAAACAGACTCCCTAGGGAGCAGGGAGCCCAGCAGACGAGGGGCTCAATCCCAGGACCCTTAACTGACTGAGCCACCCAGGTGCCCCCAAAAGTATTCTTAATGTCTCAAGAAGGAAATGAAAATAAATAGGGCTTCTTGAAAAGGTTTTTTCTCCTTAATTAAAAAAATTTTCTTGGGCACCTGGGTGGCTCAGTTGGTTAAGCAACTGCCTTCGGCTCAGGTCATGATCCCGGACTCCTGGGATCGAGTCCCGCATCGGGCTCCCTGCTCGGCAAGGAGCCTGCTTCTCCCTCTGGCCCTCCCCCATCTCATGTACTCTCTCTCTCTCATTCTCGCTCTCTCAAATAAATAAATACATCTTTAAAAAAAATTTTTTTTTCTTAAAAGGAAGAAGGACTTCTAAGGTGTTAACCTTTTTTTTCCCAACCTATTCTTATCTTTATGGAAAACATCCAACTAGACTTAAATTTATGAAGTACATAATAATTTAATTTACATTTTAATCAAATTTCTGTTAACTGTAACATAATAAACAGATATGTTAGTTATAAATACTGTTATATAGTTTTTAAATAATTTATTATTGTCTCCAGTAAAATACTCAAGACCCAAAGAAGTCTCTGTGGTACTAGGCACTGGTGATAGGAAAAAAAAAATCCTCAATAGAGAATTATTCATTCTCCCTATGCTGAAGCAGCATGATGTACTAGCAAGAGCCTAGACTCTGCAGCTAGTCTGAATCCAGCTAACTTTCTTCACCTCTCTGTAACTGTTTCCTAGTCTTTAAAATAATACTGACATCTCACTGGGTTTTTATGAAAACAAAACGTATTAGTATGTGTAAAAGCACTAGAACAGTACCAACACATTAAATGCTATATAAGTGTTCAGTAAATACAAAAAAAAGTGCTTGCTATGTGCCATGCACTGTTCTAGAAGCTAGGAATAAGCAACACACAGAACAAACAAAAATCTCTTTCCTTTGTGAAGTTTACATTTTATTTTTTTTTAAGATTGTATTTATTTATTTGAGAGAGAGAGAGAGCACAGGAAGGACGGAGCAGCAGAGGCAGAGGGAGAAGCAGGGTCCCCACTGAGCAGGGAGCCTGAGGCTGGGCTCAATCCCAGGACCCCGGGATCATGACCTGAGTCAAAGACAGACACTTCACCAACTGAGCCACCCCAGGCACCCCATGAAGTTTACATTTTAGTAAGTAGGTGATGATATTCTAGAATTAACCAGCACAATTATTTAGCCAATAAATCATCCAACACATGACACCTGGATATATGTATTCAGGCAAGCTCAGTGACTACTGGGGATTGACAGGAATGAACGAATTTCCACAGGATCTAATTCTATGAAGAAAGTTCATCTAAACCCCAAAATATGGGGAACAGTTCTTCCTGCCTCTATCCAGATGGCACTATTAGGGTTTACTACATTAAGCAGCTGATCAAAAACTCAGAAGAGACCAAAGCAGTAGAGTTAAACAACAGCTAACCAAAGAATAAAAGTAATCTCTACTTTAGGGGCACCTGGGTGGCTCAGTCAGTTAAGTGTGGACTCTTGGTTCGACTCAGGTCATGACTCCAGGGTCATGAGACTAAGCCCCGCTAGGGCTCAGTGCTCAGCGGGGAGTCTTGCTTGAGAGTCTCTCTCC